ACCAACAGAAGCTACTCCCTGAAAATGGGGAAGGGGGAATCTTGTTTCTGCAGGGTATGGGGATTCTTGAATGCTGAAGGGTGACAACATGGGCTGGAGTTAACCTATGCCATGAAATTCAGGTTCTTTAGTCAATGTGAAGCATTCCTGCTGACACCGTGGAGTACTTCCTCATTATTTATTACAAACACAGCCTTATTCCTTGTTTAGCATCGCTATTAATTCTCTTCCATCTTCCATCTTTTTTTGCTTTGTTGATTCATGCTGTGGAGGGTGAGTGTAGACAGTAAATATATGGAAAGACTGAGGGGTAACTGGTGGTCCCAGCACAATTTTGCAGCCCCTCATTGTGCTCAGTGGGACTGCTGGAGCGTTACACAAACAGACCCACATTTAAGCCTAGCACAAGTGAACACAATTGTGTTAGGACTTAAAAAGCAATTGTGAATTGAACCTTAACTGTGAAACTACCTGGAGGCCCAAAGAGTATTGTGGTAGAAGGGGAACATTATGCAGAAGTGTAAGAGGAGAGATGCTATCAAGGAGAAAAAGGTTAGCCAAGCCAATGCCAGAAACTTCCATTTTGAAGTCTTGAACTTCCATCTTGAACGCTAGCTACTAGCCCTAGTTGTAATTGGGCATTAAACATCCTTAGGTATGAAATAAGGATCTAGCTCCTGTACAGTTAACAGGTCTTAGTATGGCAGATGGCCTTTCTGTTTCCAAGATTACTTGGACCTCATTGGGTATTAAAATATCATGAAGAGATTAGAGATAGTACAAGGTGAGACCAGTCTAGTTCAGCATCCTGATTCTGGCAGTGGTAGCGAATGCCAAAGGAAAAGGAGAACAGGGCAAGTATATAGTGGTATTTCTCAAAGCAGGCTCCTGTCCTCCTGGTAGTGTCTATAGATATGTATCTATATAAATAGAGCCTGGTATTTTATGGCTGAGAAATCATCAGAACTGATTCTTTATCAAGCAACCCCGCTTGTGACAAATTAGTGCTTAAAAAAGTCTGAATTTATGGCTGGCTGTAATAATGATTAATGAGGTTTTCACGAGAGGAGATTAAAAGAGAGAAAGCAGGGAGCATGTGGAGCAAGTCTTTCTATCATAAAAGGCAGCAGAGTATTTTGAGAATGATATTCTCCTTTAAAGTAATGGTGTGTTGAATACAGAACTCTGAAGGCAGTGTTAATTGAGGGTAGATGGGTTGAGGACATACAGAAGAAACCAGGAACATATTGTGATGGTCAGAAGTAGGGTAAAGCATGAGAAGAACAATGAGAGAAGGACAAGGCAAGGCAGTAAGAGATATAGCTAGGCAACGAAAAGTGTGTGGGTCTTCCTGCAATACTGACGATGCAAGGGAAGGTACAAATGCCTCTCTCATTGATGGGGAATTGTCATTATTTTAAGAGTAGTGTGATCTGTACAATGCAATTTTGCATGGGAAATTATCTCCAACATAGGACCAGCCTAAACACGACTGACCCTCACTGCAGCTGGTACAACTGGTACAGTTGCAGTAGATATCCCTCAGAACACAAAGCTTCTCTCAGCAAGGAGCAGGTCCTATGTGATGCATTCCTAAAATCAAGTGTAGAAAAGTCCAGATGGGTAGGAGTCCCAAGACTGCCATATCATATTTAAAAGCCTGCTCTTCTTTTTGTCACTCCTTGTGAAGACTGCCATTCCTCTGTCTGTGCTCTTGGCAAGTGGAAGAAGAGGGATTTTGAAGGACTAAGGGTAAATAACGGAATGAACGCTAGGAAGGGGCATAGGAGACAATCTAAGTAATATCTGAAGAAGTACAAAAACTAGATAAATTAGAATAACCAATTTGTTGAAGGACAGAGCTGTAGGATGGGAATCTCAAATTGAACTTCACAGGGGGAAAATTATTTAGAGAAGAAACCTTCTAGCCCTCCAAACTTAAAAGGTAACACAGTTGCAAAGAAAATGCTTTATGATGAATAAATGAAGTGCAAGAAATTGCATCTCTTACTTATGGGTGGATGTCACGTGTCATTTTTCTCTTAAATAAAGGGAAAATTCGATTTTTATATTTTGAGACCAAATCCTCTAATGGCGGAATATTTGTGGTTATCAGCATTAATATTACATTTTTCATGTAGCTATCACTATCGTAGAAGTAAAAGTGTTCTCCTCTGGAACTTTGTTTCAGGAATTTGCATTATCAAACACTAATTGTTGATGTAGGTGGTATCTGAATGATCTGGGAAATGCTGAGTTAAAGGATCTACTGTTTGAAATGAGAGAGGGTCCAATAATGAGGAGGCGATAACCCCTTAATTTTTTTACTCCTCTAACTTTGGGTAGGGAAGAGGCAAACTTCTTAGCCCACATGTCCCCTCTGAGTTCTGTGAATATCTTAGAGGTTTTCCCAAAGGCAGATGTGTTAGAAAAATATTTAAAAGAGAAAAAAACTAATTTGTATTTTAGATTGTGAGGTGTCATAAAGTACACAAAACTGAAAACCTTAAGTACTTAGCTTTACACTTTGCTCTTCTTACCACAACTAAATCACCTGGCATCTGAAATATCAGCTGAGATTTCTTACTTTTATAATGACATGTAGCAACATATTGTAGTCAGAAAACATGGTACTGCTACGCATGGCTCACTGTTTGATAGTGTAACTGTCATTGGATGGTACCTTTGCTACTGTTGTGTGGATTAATCTACATTTTTAAAAAGTTCAGCCTATATTTGTGGTTAGCAGCTTTGGAAGCAACAAAACCACCACTTTTCAGGTTGGTGTTATTTTTAGTTTATGTACTTGAACCTCTATGTACAGGTTTGAATGCTTTAGGGTAAGTTATCTCTTGATGTGCCTCAAAGCTGTTAGCTGTTTTGTTTCTCCATGGTAACAGAAGTATAAAGCCGTTCAAGCATGCTACTGAAGCAGGCAGGCATGGCATTGTTTAGGAATGGGATTACATGTGAAGGCTGCAACTCTGATATGATTCTGAATAAGGCCATTTTTTAACAGGTGCTGTGAATGTGCACAGATGCACTAATTTAAGGCATTTTTCAAGGCACTAAAAATGGCTTAAAGCAATCTACCAATCCATAAAGTTTTCTGTAGTGAGAGGGATTATCAGACTATTCTAATGGAGCTTTTCTAGAAACATCATTCAACACGTGACAAGGGCTGGCTGGGCCAGATCAAGGTTTCAACGTAAGGCTCTGAGATGCAGATAAAAAAGAAAGCCATAAAGACTTGGCAGTGTATGTTCTTAATTTTTTTTTTTATGTTCAAAACTTGAAACCTGAATGTTGGACAGATAGATGATGGCTAAATTTAATGCAGTTTTCTGTATTCTGTAAGTTTCAGTAGGAAATTATCTTGCAGCATTAACCAGGTAGACTCTTATTTTTACTCCCATCTTGACAGAATTGTTATTCAGACAAGTTTAGATGGCCCTTTTGCAAAGAAAGGAAAATGGTAATGATTTATATCTGTTCAGCTTGATTGTGCACTGATCTTTCTGGTATTCATGCACACTATTCTTTTCTTCCTCTGCTTAAAAGGCTCTAACCTAGCGGAGTGCAATAGAACCTACTAACTTGCATTCATACTAGGGAAAACTTATAATCTGGACAGATTGCATGAGGCAACTCTTCCTGTCTCTGTTCCAGCAAGACTTTGTGTAGTTGGGTTGAGCTAACCTTGCAGAGTGAGTCATGTTTCCTCCAAAAGCAATCAATCCAGCCTGACTGAAAACAGAGCTCTGTGTGTGTGTGAGCACTTTCCTTTTACATTTAGAACAAAGAGACTTCCTCATCTCTTCTCCCTTTTGCTACCCATAAGTAAAGTGTTTTAGTTCAGAAGGCCATGTGACCTGTATACCTGTATAAGGCACCTGCATGCCTTCAGTAGGACTTCTTTCTGCTACACTTCATTGTTTGGCTTGCCTCTTTTGTGAACTTTTTAAATGCAAGTGAAAACTAGCTTTTTCTTCAGCCTCCCTAAGAATTGCACATTGAACATTCTGTTCATTGGTAGCCTTCTCTAGCGTGGTTGTATTTTTTTTTCAAGTAACTTTTGATCAAATTGTGTATATTGATAAATTATTAAATCCCCACCATACAACTTGGTGGCTGAGGAGAGATCCAAGTAGTGTTGTGCAGAGGGGAAGATGGGCATGCATAAGCTGTTTAGCTCTGTACTGAGCTCCAGACTGGTGCTTGTTGTGTGTGGAAGAGTTAATGTGCTTGAAGTGCTTTTGTTGGCCCAGTGGCTTGCTGAAAACATTGCCTGAACATCAGGTCAACGCATGCCTCTTACTGCTGCAGCCTGTAGGAAGATGGATGTCTGGCCCTACTGCTGTCCTTATGTAACTTTTCAGCAGGTTGTGTCTGGGCAGCTATTTCGAAGTGCAGTCTTTGCTGTCGAACCCCCGATGGGCCCAAGCGTGAGAGGAGGAGGCAGCTGTACCGCGCTGCGGCCTACACGCAGGCACGGGTTGCCCGGCCGGGTTAAGGCGGCAGCGCGGCGTGTCGGGGCCGGGCCTCCAACCGCGCGTGCGGCGGATTCCCGCCGCCTCCTGCCCAACATGGCGCAGGTACGGCCGCGGAGCGGGGCGAGGGGCGCTCGTCCCTCGGCTGCGCCACGGCCGGCTACACTCGGCTAGGCCCGGCGGAGCCGCCACGCGACTGAAGGCGGCGAGAGCCGCGCGGCGCGCTGCGCTCGGACGGGTATTTACGGTACGGGCGCGCGCGGGCGGCCGTTACGGTAGCGGGGGGGAGGGGGAGGAGGGACTACGTGCGCGGGGGCGGGGCGGGCAGTGCTGCGTGCTCGGCCCCGCGAGGCGCGTCTCCCTCGCGAGCTCGGTGAAAGGATTTGGCGCCAGGCGGGTCCGCTCTGCAGCTGCCGCAGCCGCACGAACCAGCCGCGCCACCCGCCCACCGCCTCCCGCCGGGGCCTCGACCCAGAGCCGCCGACGCCCGCCCGAGCCCAGAGCCGCCCGCGCGCCGCCCAGGGATCGAGCCGCCGCCGCCGCCATGAGCTGCTCGCCCGTCAACGTGAAGAAGCTGAAGGTGTCGGAGCTGAAGGAGGAGTTGAAAAAGCGGCGCCTCTCCGACAAGGGCCTCAAGGCCGACCTGATGGAGCGGCTCCAGGCCGCGCTGGACCAGGAGGCCGGCGGGGGGGGCCCCGCCAGCAGCGCGGCTGAGCCTGGCAACGGCAGCATGGAGGGGGAGGCGGCCGAGAGCGGCGGCGGCGCCGCGCAGCTCCGCCAGGGGGGAGGCCTCGACCAGGCCGCGGCCTCGGCGGCGGAGGACGACGACGAGGAAGGGCTGGAGGCCGCCGATGGCGACCCCATGGAGCTGGGCGAAGAGAACGGCGAGCGGGCGGGGGCCGGGGGCGGCCCGATGGAAGAGGAGGCGGGCGGCGAGGAGGAGGAAGAGGAGGAGGAGGAGGACGAAAACGGAGACGACCAGGGCTTCCAGGAGGGGGAGGACGAGCTGGCCGACGAGGAGGAGGCCGCGGCCGGGGACGCCAACGGGCACGGGGAGCAGCAGCCCCAGGCCCAGCAACCGCCCCAGCAGCAGCCTCCGCCGCTCCTCGCCCCGCGCGCCGCCGCCAAGGAGGCCCCGGGCAAGAGCACTGCCGGCGCCTCGGGACCCGCGGCGGCTGCCTCTGCCGGCCCGGCCGGCCCCGCCAAGCAGCAGCAGCAGCAGAAGAAAGCGGAAGGCGGCGGCGGCGGAGGCCGCCCCGGAGCCCAGGCCGCCGGGGGTGAGTGTGCGCGGCGGGAAGGGGGGAGGGAGCCGTTAATCCCCCCCGGCCGCGAGGAGCGGGGCAACGGGCGGCAGGGCGGTTTCCGGGGCGCGAGCGGGCGCCTCGGGAGAGAGGGCGAAGGGGATGGGGGGGAGGCTTTTACCGCCCATTCGCCGCGTGGTCCCCTCGAGGCCGCGCGGGGTCTGGAGCCCCGCGGGGGGCGGGGGTCTAGGGAGCGGGGCCGTTCGCGGGGCGGGGGGAGGAGGGGCGGGAGCGGGGAAGGGACCGGCGGGGGGAGGGGCGGGCGCCGAGGGGCCGCTGGGGCGCGCTGTATTGTGCTAAGGAGCGCCGGGCGGCGTGACGTCACTTCCGGCCGGGGCTCCGCGGGATGGCGCTGGGAAGGCTTGGTACAATGGAGGCGGGCGGAGGCGGAATCCCTGCCCCGCAGGCGGCCTGGCGGCCCCGCGCGGAGCTCCCGCCGCGCACGGCGGCCGAGAGGCGGCGCCGTCGTGCTCTGGCGCGCCGCGCCCCTGCGGGCGGCCTGGAGGCGGCGGGGTGCGGGCCGGGTGGCGCCGCGCCGCTTTGTGTCCGCTCCTCGGCGCTGCGCACGGCTGCGGGCCGGGCTTTCGCTCGGCCTCGCGGTGCTTCGGTGGTCGCGGTTCGGGGTGGTTTAGCGGATGGGTTTTGAGTCCCCGGAGAAAACTTGATACGATGTTATTATTATTATAGTGAAAAACGGGATTCTTCCGTGGGCTGCTATTGTTTTGCCGTAGGTGCTCTTGCGCTTTCCGAAGTCGAAAGCGTTGTTATCAGATTTTATTTCCAACTGAAGAGTTCCTTCCTGGTGTTAAAGATCATTGATTTTGTTACAGGAGATGGCAAAACAGAACAAAAACCTGGTGAGAAAAAGAGGGGCGTCAAGAGACCACGTGAAGACCACGGCCGAGGATATTTTGAATACATTGAAGAAAATAAGTACAGCAGGTAAATAAGTTTTCCATGCTGGGCACCATTTTATCAATGAGGAGAGGTAAGATGGGCTTACTCTAAAAAACTCTTCTCTTGCCCTGGGAGAATGCCTGGCTTCAGTCTTCGCTTTTTTTTTTTTCCTTAGGGCCAAGTCCCCTCAACCACCCGTTGAAGAAGAAGATGAACACTTTGATGACACAGTGGTGTGTCTTGATACCTGTGAGTACCCGTGCTTTCCTTTGGTCTGCAAAGATACAGTATTGTCTTTAATCTTAGAGCCCCATATTTCAGAAATGTAGAGTAAAATGTTTGGTGACTTGCATTACTAAGCAGCATAGAGATGTTTGTTCCTTCAGTCTTAGCATACAAAAGGGTACACGAGCCTTCATATTAACAATATGCAGCTAAATTTTTATATAATAATTTGCTGAAGAAATTTTAAATGAAATACTAGTCTTGCATATGGAAAAATTGACTGAGTGTTCAGTATGTATAGATGATGCTTGAAACAACTTGAGAAATTGATAACGATGTACATCATCTTCTCCCTTAAAGTACCAATAGTAGTTATGCTAGTCTTATTTATGTGTCAGCAAGTTATGAGTTTCTTCTGCTGTTTTCTGAGAAATTTAACAATCAATCAGCTTAAGTCTTCTAGAAAAAATAAATGACCCATTCATGTATTCTGAGAGTTGGAGGTGGTGTGGAGGTGATTTGTGTAAGTACTACTGTGGTATACCATGACCAGGGTAAAATCTTGTTCTTTTGGGTAAGTATGAGAAGTTAGTGCAGAATTAAAAACTTCAGGTAATGCACTGACTTGCTGGATTCTTAAAATGCCGTGAAATGAGACCTTAAGTTTTGGCTTCATTTGGCATATTTGCTAGTAGTTTCAGGTTTTCTCTTCCTGAGAAATGTTTTGAAATGGAAGGAGGCATTAGTTTACAGCCACGTATTTTGCTGAATGTGCCATTATCTTCTAGCTGCTAACTTGGTGAGTAGCCATCTTTGTGGGAGTTCTTAGCTCTCCCAATAACTGACTAGTTGCTACTTGTGATTATTGTATCTAGTAGAAAGTTCTGTTATGGACATACTGTAACTGAAAGTATCAGCAGGCTGTTGGAAGCACCCAGTCAACCACAGCCTTAAAGAGTGAATTGTGTAACAGCTTGGCTCTCTTTTTTGACTGTCACAATCCAGACCTATAAGAGGTTTAGTGCTCTGAAGTGCTGCTTTTACTTGTGTCTCTGAAGAGCATTTTGACCAGAAATTCTTTTCTTGTGTGTTGCTTTAAAAGTAACCTACGCTGTTTTATTCTTCAGATCTTTTTTGTTTGGTTTTCCTGCAACAATTAGAAGTATTAACAGGAATGCTCAAGACCTAACTATAGCTGCAGATGGCTTTGTGCAAACAAGATCTCCTGTTTGAGAATTGCCAGTAATAAAATGCAGGGACAACTGCATTTTGGTGTGCTTGGGCATCATACAGACTTTCTGCTAGGGCAGAAGATAACTCTGGTTGCTAATTTTACACCTTTCCTGTAACTGTTAAATAGGTTCAGAGTTTCTTCTGTGGATTCCTTACTCTGGGGAATTCAAGTGCCATATCCTGCACCTCATGTTACCACTTTAAGTTGTCATTTTTAAAGCTACTGGAAGATAAACTTGAAACTTTACAGTGCAGCAGCCCTGAAGGATGTCTATGTAACAAAGGTTCCATTTAAAGTTCCTAGGGTTCTCTCAAAATGATAGTTGAGTTCATGCTGAGATTGTGATTGGTTGGGTTGTTTTTTGTTGTTTTTCTTTACACAAAATGAGCTCACTTATCCCGCGCTGTGTGCTTATCTGCACTTAACTGACTTTATTTTATTGGCTTAATCTAATTGGACTTGCTAAAGGACTGTATGTCTCCTGAAGACCACGGTACTACTTGCAGTACTTAAACAAAAATACCTGTGTTTGCATTTAACTGCTTTCAGACACAAGGAGTAAGGCTTTGCAAAAAGGTATCTAGCAAGTAGCTCAAAGAGCATCATGTGTATTCCAGATATTCTGCGTTGAGTAACTGACAAAAAAAGGTTGAGATAAGTGAGATGGAAGCCAAGTGTTCAGGCAGATGGGGGGGGAAAAAAAGCCTGGGAACTTAATGGTGGAAGATGGCACCTTGCAAATCATCTTTGCTATTAGTTGTGTTGTCCTCAGTTTTTTGACATGTGTTCAGTTCCTTTCCTAAAAGATGGTTAGCATTTGCCAAATGGCAGCTATTTGTCCTAAAATCACATTGGAAAACTGAAATGACTTTTAATGCATGAAATTGGAAAGTTGTGTTTTGTTGTTTTTTGGTGGTGTGTTTTGTTTTGTTTTTCTTAACTGAAGTACACAACGGTTTTTGTCAACAGATAACTGTGACCTGCATTTTAAAATCTCAAGAGACCGGTTTAGTGCTTCCTCACTGACCATGGAAAGCTTTGCTTTCCTTTGGGCTGGGGGGAGAGCTTCCTATGGAGTTTCTAAAGGCAAAGTCTGCTTTGAGATGAAGGTAAGACTTAAATTTTTTGTGGGAGGCTGTTTTGGGTAGCTAAATATTTTACTCTTTATGCTTTGTTTCAGTCTTGCATCTTAAAGAAAGCATTCTGTAACGAGGCTGAGAAATGGCTCTCAATGAGAGATGTCTTAATTTGTGAATCTGCTTTTTTTAAGAACTTGATGTGAAAAGAAAGTTGCACATGACATGAACGTATAACTTCATGTAGTTTTGAACCAAGAATTTTAGATGGCACTTCAATGCACCAAAACATATAGAATTAAAATAATAGTCAGAAGCTCACTTGTGTGTACTTTGTGAAGATTACAGGAAGTTCAGATCTTCCAAAAATAATGACAGAAACAAAATATTGAGGGAGTTTGGTAGCTGACCTGCAGAAGTCCCTTCCAACCTGAATAATTTTGCCTTATTTACACAGAAGTGTGAGTATTTAGCTGGGCTCTTGAATTTAGAGGGCTGGAATGGAGAAGAGAATCAGCCTTACAAGAAACAGATTCCCCCCACTTGTAAGGGAAGAAAATCAGGAGTCACAAAGCCAAATATTTTTATTTTGAAGGGCATTAAAGCCTTATTTGGTTAGGATGTATGTGGGTATGTGCTTATTCTGTTCACTTCTTCCACTGCTTCCAAATCTAACTGGTAACATTAAGTTGGTGGTGATCCCATTCCTTGGTGACTATAACTTTGGGAGGACAATAACATGAAACATTGTATTTAATGCCCTGTTTCTTTTTAAGCTTTTCCTTGGTCACGTGACTCAAATATTTGTGAAAAGTGGTGGCGTAACGGCCATGTAATTTTTTTTTCCCACTTCATTTTGGTGATGTTTTATAAAATGCAATTAGAGGAAGAGCTGGTTGCCTTCAGCTTGCAATGCTCTTGGGTGAGATTTTTGAATCTGGTTATGTTGTTTGGTAGTTGGCAACTTGCCCAGGATCTCTGCTTTCTCTGGGAAAGGGATGAGTGTAGTATTTCCCCAGCTCTGTCCAGAACGGTGTTTTCATCTCATACCACACTTCACTGGCAAAGAAATTTGTTGTTAATCCCAAAGTTGTAGCAGAGCTTCTAATTGATAAGGATATATTCCTTGTAGGCTGTAATTTTAATATGCTATCAAGGGGGTTGATATTTGTGACTACCAAGAGAGTGCTATGATTAAATGCTCTGAAGGTATACGATGTCTTGCATCTCTATCAGTCAGAGACTTGAATGTTTAGTGACTGGTTTGTGATTTCACAGATGTGCTTCACTCTTGTATTTAAGCAAAAATAATAATAATAATAATAAAAATAGTTCAGACTTGTAAAGATGTAACCAGAGAATAAAGGTTCTGGATGTTATGTTGATTCTTTCTTGTCGGAGTCTTAAAAAACACAACATAACTTTAATGAATAATTTAAAACTAGGTTACAGAAAAGATTCCTGTTAAACACCTGTATACAAAAGACATTGATATACATGAGGTGCGAGTTGGCTGGTCACTGAACACAAGTGGAATGTTGCTTGGTAAGACCTCAAGTATTTATTTCATTCTGTGTTATGTATTGTCTGTGTGGTTGAAGTTTTCCTTCTGGCTTAGAGAAAAGTGGCTGTGAAACTCAATGATTGTAGTCCATGTGTTTTGGAAAGGGGTCTTGAGTTATTCACTGGACATTGTGGGAATTTATTATTGGGACAAACAAGCTTAACTGTTCAAGATTTTTAGAAATATGTGATTTGAGAATTAATTCTCTCTATGTGGGTTGTGAAAAACATTCCTTAAAACTTTAAGGAAGTCTTTAAGGATTTACGTGTAGTGTCATAAATTGCAATGGCTTTTTTATTACTTCTGTTTTGTGATTATAAGGCTTACTCAAGCAAGAAAAATTTGCAGATAATTACTATTCTCTTGGAGTTGATGGGCAGAAATCTTTTTTCTAAAAGGAGCTGGAACAACAAACAACAACTTCAGTAGATAAAGGGGAGAAAATTATGGTATTCTTAACTAATAGCTGCTGATGAGATATGTCTGTGGAAAATGTGTATGAATATGGACATTCTGATACCAGCAACTTTCTAGTTATAAGTACTTAAATTCCATCTGAGTTCTTGTGTTTGACACTTGCTGTTAGCTTGTTCCTTGCAGCTTCATCCTCAGCTGTCGCATAGGCTGAATGTCTGCTAAACTCCCTTTAAAATGGGGAGGGGTAAGTGCTGCTGGAGACTTAATTCAGAAGTGCCCTTCTGACTAACTGCGTTACAGGTATACTGATGCACAGGTCTTCAGAGTTTAAGAATACTTACTCGTGTCTTTAGCTAGAGTTTCAGCATTTTGTCACCAAGAATCTAGAACCAGTAGCATAAAGCTTTTAAGGTTAGGGTGAGGAAAATGCTGCTGTTCAATTTTAAATGAGAGTATTGAATTCTTCAATGCAAGAAACAGCTGTAGCTATTCTGGGGGTGATAGCTTGTTTTGGCATCAATGGAAATATTCTGAACAGCAGTTCACTTAAGTAATTGTAAAATGATTGCATTTCTCAACAGAAAATACATATTTTTAATAAGTTGAAATTTCTTCTTCAGGTGAAGAAGAATTTTCTTACGGATATTCTCTAAAAGGAATAAAGACATGCAATTGTGAGACTGAAGACTTTGGTGAGAAGTTTGATGAAAATGATGTGATTGGATGTTTTGCTGTAAGTTTTCTCTTAAGTATTCTCTTGAGGAAAAACATCCTTTAATTTTCAGGCTGCTTTGATGTGAGAAGCAGTAGATCAAATCCAGGAAAACTTGAAGACAGACAAGTTGTTTAGTACATTGAGAAGGTAGAAGTAGCGTGTATGATCAGCAGTGGCTGCTGTCAACCTTTTTCATGTTTTTCAAGGCTTTAAAAAAAAACGATCACACCTTAACATGATCATTGACATTTAAAGACTGTCTCCCAGTGTAAGGAATTACTTTGTTTAATAGTGGTATTATAAAAGCTAAATAAACGCAGTTAATATGGTGAAACAGTTAATGCACCTTAACAATGCAACGTGAATATTTTTACACAAACTAATGCTTTGTCTGTAAAACAGAATTTTGATGGTGATGAAGTGGAGCTCTCATATTCCAAGAACGGACAAGAGCTTGGTGTTGCATTCAAAATTAGTAAGGAAGTTCTTGATGGGCGCCCGCTCTTTCCACATGTTCTCTGCCATAACTGTGCAGTTGAGTTCAACTTTGGTCAGAAAGATGAACCTTACTTTCCTGTACCTGAAGAGTATACCTTCATCCAGAAGGTCCCCCTGGAAGATCGGGTTCGAGGACCAAAGGGACCTGAGCAAAAGAAAGATTGTGAGGTAAGATTCCTGGTTATCTCAGAAGTTGTTGAGGGGAGATGAATGGAATCGTTGGATTTTTAAGCCGTTATAGAAAATTCACCTTTTTGTTTGAAGACTTTAATACTGAGTAACGTGTGACTCTCTCCATATTAGATTTCTATTGGGTTTGCTAGGCTAAGTTGCTTACTAAATATTATCTTGAGCTAGCATCTCAAATATGGAACATGTTGTAATAGGTGGTGATGATGATTGGATTGCCTGGAGCTGGCAAGACTACATGGGTAACTAAACATGCAGCAGCAAATCCTGGGAAATACAACATTCTTGGGACTAATACTATTATGGACAAAATGATGGTAAGTAGATTGTTTGAAGACTTGCTGTAAATCCAAGGTCTGTGGGTGCCAGGGAGTTCCCTTCAATCTAAGTAATCTAAGAAACACATGATCATTATTTGATTGTGACTGTTAAAGATGTTACCGGACTGAGCTACTTGTTATGCACAGCACAGCCAGATTCTGAAGTTTCTTTTGTAATAAGTATCAATAAGTCATTGATGTTTACCCATTTGTTGTCCTCAGTACAGCAGCTTTGAATCAGTAGTACAATGAGCATACCTTAGATTCAGCTGTGTCAATTCACACAAATTCCTTGTTAGTAAAGAAATTGAATCAGAAGCTTGTATTTGTGGTCTTGAAGCCACTGGAAGATAAATTCGTTGAAGCAAAATGTCAGTTGTATGGGTTGGATCTGCTATAACTCCAATTTCTATAGGTTGCAGGTTTTAAACGGCAGATGGCAGACACTGGGAAACTGAACACACTGTTGCAGCGAGCTCCACAGTGTCTTGGAAAATTCATTGAGATTGCAGCTCGTAAGAAGCGGAATTTCATTTTGGATCAGGTAGAAGCTTCAGTAAAAACTTGTTAAGGAATTTTGCTCTAGGCTGTAATGTAGTATTTAAGTGGGATTAAAGTTATATTTTAATAGCGGTTGTTTCACTTGCTGACTTAATGCGCAAAGTTGAGATGCTACTACAAATGCTTTTCTGAACTTCTTTGGGATGTGGGAGGAATAGTGTAACACTTTGATATGAGCTCGTTCGTTCGTAACTTTGCATTATGCAGCTTCTTTATATCCAGTTATTTGTAAACTTCAATGCAAGCTCTTGTAGAGGTGAAGTCTATACACCATAAGTTGACTTCCTTAACTCTTACAATGACAGCTACGTGTAGTAAGTTACTGCATTTTTTTCAGACAAATGTGTCTGCAGCTGCGCAGAGGAGAAAAATGTGCCTGTTTGCAGGCTTCCAGCGCAAAGCAGTTGTTGTTTGCCCAAAAGATGAAGACTACAAGCAAAGAACACAAAAGAAGGCAGAGGTGGAGGGAAAAGATCTTCCAGAGCATGCAGTTCTCAAAATGAAAGGCATGGAACATAATCCTATACTGTGTTTTAGGATGCTGAATATCTGCTTAAAGGATTAAGTAAACCTGAAATCTAAAAATCTACGTTATCTTAAACAGCTGTACTTAAACAAAACTGGAAGACTATTGTAACTTGTAGGACAACACTATATTGTGTTCCCTCTGCTGCAGTCCTTAACACTACTCATTTATGCTGATATGCTTCATGCAGATGCACAAAGCTGTCTTGGCATAAAGTGCCCTATTTAAGTGACATATTTGGCAGAAACTGATGTTGTGAGTGGAGGCTTATAAAAGAAAAAAAAAAAGCATAGGCAGAATGCTTTCAAGGTTTGGAACAGTACTGGTAACTCCATGGAGACCCTTTTATTTCTTTTGTCACTCTTACCTTTCTTTACTGCTCAAATTACGTAATTTTGTCCCTATGCTGAGAGAATGTTGGGGGTGGGAGGAAGAATGAGAGAAAGGTATTTAAAAATACAGCTTGAATTGTAGCTGAATGGAGATGCTGAATACTCAGTGTTTTTGCAATTATAGGGAACTTCACACTGCCAGAGGTAGCAGAATGTTTTGATGAAATAATCTATGTAGAGTTGCAAAAAGAAGAAGCTCAGAAACTCTTGGAACAATATAAAGAAGAAAGTAAGAAATCTCTTCCGCCAGAAAAGAAGCAGAACACTGGCTCAAAGAAAAACAAGAAGAGCAATAAAAATCAGTTTAATAGAGGGCAGAGGGGGCGTGGAGGATTCAACATGCGTGGCAACTTCAGAGGAGGAGGTGAGCCTAGAAATAAGTGTATGAATTTTGGGGACAACAGATACTTTGCAAAAATAAGAAAAAGAAAAGCTTGTCCTAGTTGAATTGCAACCATTATGTGACAGTAATGTAGATTTTTGGCTCCGGTAAGTTTTTAATAGCCTGACCTTTAGTGCAAAGCTAATTTTCTGATGTGTTACAACTGAGGATCACAAAAAATTACATTGTGTAGTTTGAGGTACAGTTTAAGTTCTTACTGTAGATTTAGTGCTTCCCTGTGTCAAATGCCATTTTATGAGGGTATTTTGTACCCTTACATCACTTGGTGAAAGTGATCCATCATCATGGAAAAAAGGTTATGTTGAAATCTTTGCATCGGAACTTTTGCAATGAATGTTGGCATCTTGTTTTTTCACCTTCATTAAGAGTCTCTGTTTTGAGCTATTTTTTTCTATGTGAGAAATACTTAAGACCTGACAGTTACTTGAATCAAGCAAACGTTTTCTCTGCAGTCCCAGGCAATCGAGGTGGATACAACAGGAGGGGAGGCAATATGCCACAGCGTGGTGGTGGAGGAGGTGGTGGCGGTGGCGGCAGCAGCGGTGCCATTGGCTATCCTTATCCTCGTGGCCCTGTCTTTCCTAGCAGAGGTGGCTACTCAAACAGAGGAAACTATAACAGAGGTGGAATGCCCAACAGGGGAAACTACAACCAGGTAATGCTTTTGATGGGGGAGTTACTAGTTGATATGCAGTACTCTGGATTAATGTTCTCTTGCTGAAAGACTTGTTAGCTGTGGATAATGGCAAGCTTAGTACACTTAGTTCCATAGCAAAAGATCTAACTTTCCAGCTAAGAGTACATGCCTAGAGCCCTAAGAAGAGCTAACACTGATGCAGTGGTTTCCTAGTAAGACTTAGTCCTGCTAAAGCTGAAGATTGTTAGGGTTTCTGTTCCATGGTAAAGCAGTTCGTAGTCTGAGTTTCTGTGACAGACTGTAGAGTTGCCCCATGCAGTTCATGCTTAAGTCTGGTTTATAGTCCAACAGTTTGAGTTTAACTTAGAGCTGGGCATTGCTTTTGATACTGCAAAGGTGTGCAAAAGTCCATATAGGAACAGCTATGCTAATAAGTTGTTTCATTCCCCTGTGGCTTCTGACCTACAACATCAGTAAGCGTTGTTTGACCTTAAGGTCAGAGTGCATCAGTGTTGAAGGTGAAGTCATTTAAAGAATTTTCTGAAAATAGCTCTGTAGAGTCTTTGTTGTGACATCTTATGTCAAACTATCAAAGACATACTAGTCTCAGTCTTAAACTGTCACAGTATCAGTGAAAGTACTTGAAAACAGTAAATTTGATTACAGAAGAGCCAGCAGATGGAGCCCAAGCTAATAAACATGGCACAGGTTTGTCTAATACAAACAGGAAATGCAGTATTCTATCTACCAATATCAAGGAGTCTCTTATACTGTAGGTTTTATTTAAAGTTTTGTGACTTAACTCTTCTATTTTAAGTTGTATGACCCATATCCTTTTGTCCGATCAGATAACATCCTTGTAGCAACTACAGTCTTTCCTAACTAAAAATAGGCAAGCTCTAGTATTTTTAGTTGTCCTAGTGGCAGTTTAGTAGCTGGATATAGGGTGAGTCAAAACTGGATTAGCCAGCTTTCCGGACCATTGGCAACAGTAGTCTGAGTCTGGGGTAAATCCACCAGCACGGAACAGCCAAGTTTTAAGCAGCAGCTTAAAGAGACGGGCGTTTGGTATTACGTTGTTGTTTTAACCCAGACCTGATACTGGTATTTGAAAGATTGGGTATAACATGATGTTTTGGTGGCAGTAGAAGAATTGTTGTATTTCTGAAAAGTCTGCATGGATGAGGTGGCTCAAAACTGTTGTCCTCTTGCAGAACTTCAGAGGAAGGGGGAATAATCGTGGCTACAAAAACCAATCTCAGGGCTACAACCAGTGGCAGCAGGGTGTAAGTAGTAATAACCGCACTTCTTCCTCTTAATTTGACCGTCGGATGTTTGAGAATGCTTAGAAATAAATGTGTAACCAACACCAGATAGCAGCATCTTCTAATGCCAAGTAATATTATAAATAGTTCTCTCTGCAAAGCTTAATCTGGCTTGATGTATCAGGTATCGGCTATGGCTTATCGGTCTTAATGGCAAGAAGTGTTTGGCTCCGTGATGCTACTGTGAAGTGAGTGTAACTGCCTCCAGTTGTTTTGGAATTTGCTGCTATTTGAGAGGATTTTAATCTCAGGTTCCTGGAGTTAGATATCTGTATAAAAACTTTTTCTGTAAGGAGTGTGTTATGTGATAACACGTTAAACTAACTATTTATCCATTTATTGCAGCAATTCTGGGGTCAGAAGCCATGGAGTCAGCATTATCACCAAGGATATTATTGAATACCCAAATAAATGAACTGATACATATTTCTCCCAAACCTTCACAAGAAGTCGACTGTTTTCTTTAGTAGGCTAACTTTTTAAACATTCCACAAGAGGAAGTGCCTGCGGGTTCCTTTTTTAGAAGCTTTGTGGGTTGATTTTTTTTTTTCTTTTTTTTGTACATTTTTAATTGCAGTTTTAAAGTGATTCGTAAGAGAACCTCAGCATTGTGCACGATAAGAGAATGTGTCAGTATTTCAGGGTTCTACATTTTATCTGTAAAATGTGACTTTTTTTTTTACCACAACAAAAGTAAAACGTTGCTTTGTACCTGGTGTCTTTTTATTAAAGAATTTTCTCCTTTTTCCCCACTTACCCCGATTTCTAAGAAACAGTCGTGAGTCGTGTCACAATACGATCGAAATATGAGCAACCAGATTCGTGTGGAGGCTCCTTCGTAGCCCTCATGAATATATAATGTAAAGCTCCATATTACACTCCATCCTCTCTATAGTGCTTTTGGGTGGGGAGGAGGGAAGGGGGAGGTAAAAGTTTCTGGCAATAAACTAGGACTTTTTTGTAACATTTGGAATTCAATAAGATGGGGGTGAAGAGGAAACCTGGAGCTAAATAGTGAAGGTGGAGTGTATGTAGAAGCTCTTAAAGTTGTAAAACTTGGTTGCGTTACTTGTGGAGGCTCAAACTTGTGAAGGTACACCACCATAATTTCTTTTCCATTTGTTCTGCATTTTGATTCTGAAAAGAAGCTGGCTTTGCCCATTTCTTATTAAACAAAACTTGTTGTAAATCCAGTTGTCTAATGGGATCTATATGAAGTTAGCTGTGTGTCTGTATAACTTCCCCACAAAATACTGTATACCTAGTGTGCTTGTAGTAGTTACTCCACCATTTTGTAAGCTAATGAAACTGTGAGTCACCCATTTTATATCTAATTTTTAATCATGTCGATTCTCAAATGGGTGTATCTCCTTAGCCTGCTGATTCCTTTTCTCTTTAAAGAAAGTGGGTGGAGAAATTTAACTCTAGACGTTTGTTTGCAATAAAATAAATTCATTTTACTCTTGTTTTGGGATTGTTGCCATCAAGGTCTAAATCCCTTTAAGGCTATAAAGAGGAAGAGAATGTATGGAAGTGACAATGTTGGACAGTTCTGAACTCATTACTTTGTACATGCTGAAATACTTGTGTTTCTTTAAAAAAGTTTCTTTAATAATCTAAACCAGTGGTTGCTCTGTTAGAGGTGTATCACGTGTATAATCTCACAGCTTAACGGTTACATGTGTAGGGCAGAAGACTTCTGAGTTTCACTTGCATCATGTAAATCCACTTAATCTATTTATTGTAAAATAGAAACTAGGGAAGGAGTAGAGGAGGAAACCGCAGGGAATAGAGAAGGCGAGTTGTCACAGAATTATTCCTGGAGTCAAACAGAGCGCTTTAACTGCTGTTTTGTTCAGACCTATGCTTTTGTAAAACTGTAGTGATAATGTTAGCTAATAACTTACTGCATCTTAATGCCATGAGTCAGGGAAGAAACATAACTGTTCTAAGTTGGCCTGACAGTGTACATGTGAAAACATTGCTGCCAGCAGCTGGGAGTTGGGATTTGTGTGCTGAGTTCCTGTTAGCAGTGTACAGACTGCAGAGGCTTACCAGCAGCAGCATAGACCTAGAGGCAGTGTAGTGTGCTTGAAACTTTCCTCAAATGTTAGTCAATTTCTAATAGTCCTTGAAAGTAATGATAAAGTTGTGTTGCTCTTCTAGCCTTTATAGCAGATGACATTGCATATTGACATTAAACATTAACAGCACCACCTCCTTGTTAATACTGCTTTAAATCATCCCTTTACTTTGAACAAGAACAATGTAAGTTGTCTTTAAAGAAACATTATTTAATGAACTAGAAATACGAGAAGTATAAACCCAACTCTGTTTTTGCTGAAATGGAATTTTCTTCAGACTTGCAAAGAAAATCTTAGTGTAATTAAATTCCATCTCCCTCCTACCTTCCTCCTAAGAACCTAACACTTTGTATGGAGTGCTGATCCTTTGCTTATTTTGGTACTCTATAAAATTATATAGTCTTAAACTGAAATATAAGAGCCTACACTTACTATGTGCTTGTAAAGTTTGTATTTTAATGCAAAAGTCTGGGCTGTTTTCTTCTGTTCAACATGCGGTGTTAATGCCACAGTGGAGAGGAAGGGCTTTAAGTGGCTTACAATTGAAATAGGAGTACATTTCAACTGAAAATACTCCTAGATGAGGAATGTTGCCTTAAGGTACTCAGCACTAACTGCTGTGTGTTTTCAGGTACAGAAACCTAAAGCTTCTGCCATAAGTACCATTGAGGTACAGTTAGTTCAGAAATGTGATATGTGAATCTAAATACTTGCCTTGCTTGTGGCAGAGGAGACCTTCACTTGTGTGAGGCCTTGTTCAGCCTGGGTTCATCCACAAGGGAAAACTTCCTTTGGTTTATCTTAGCAGTAGTTATTGCTAAAAGGGAGATTTATTTTTACGTGAAAATAATTTGTTTACCTAGAACATCACTACTCTTTCAAAAAACTTCAGTTTCCATTTATTTCCCTGAAAAGGTCTGGTGACTTAGTAGCATCAGTGCAAAGAAAGCACAGCTGCATGTTGTCAACATGGGAGGGCTGAACCATCTGTTATATTGAGTAACTTCACAGCTTATAAGGACTTGTTTACAGGAGGAGAGGTGCCTGTGTTCTAGCAGCGTGGTGCTGGCAGGGGTGTAGCACATTGCTTGTGGCATATAACACTGTGGCAGGAGGGTGGTGAGGATGTGGCCTCCTTGTAATGCAGCCCAAACCTGGAGTGTCTGGGCTATGGCTCCACGACAGCAGCATGGTGGATGCTGTCTGTGTGGGCCTCAGCAGCAGGGCTGTGCTTCTGCCTGTGTCCTGCAGTCCAGCCTGAGGTCTGCTCATCTTGCTGCTGCTGCAGCTATGGCTGCTGGCTGCTCTACTGTGGAGCTATGTGTACGAGGCTGTGCAGGAGACTAGGCAGAAAGCTTCCCTTCGGAAAGCAAGGCCAACAAATACTTGTGTTGTCTTTGAGCCTCTGCGCACAGCAGTCGCTATGACACACAGGATAACACAGGCACTCCCCTCATGCCCTGCTATTGGCACAAGGCTGTGTCCTTGGGGCTCCGCGAGTACCTCAAGCCTGGCACCGAAGCATTCTCAGGTCACCTGAGGACGGGCCCTTACCTGTGGGATGTCAGATTCTAGCTTACTCTCTGGATTTCCTTATGAGAGCCCTGCCCTCAGTGCCGGACCCTGCTGCAAGGAGCCCCCTGCTCATGTGCTGGACTGCCTACAGAGTACTGGGCAGTGGGGGGCAGTGGGGTCTCCATGTGGTGGAGCATACATGCCTCGTGCCTATGGCAGAATAATTTCTAATTGGCTAAAACATTCCAAACTTGCTGTTATCCCTCAACACTGCCCCATTTTTTCTGATGGCGGAATGCACTAAAACAGAATTCTGGCAGTGCTGTGTACAGTCCATGCCACTGAGATTAAAAAAAGTATTGGTGTTTTTAGACACCACAGACTGCTGTTTTTTAAAATGTCCTTCTATGACACTATGTTTTGAATAGAAACAGCTGATGAAGTCATCTTTTACAATGTGGAGGTTTCCTTCTCCATGACCCTTTGGAAAACTAGGCCGATCCTTTGTGAAAGTGCAGCTGCAGGCTGAGCCCTGAGCTGTTCAGCTGAATTACAGATGGAGGTACTGAAGGACTTGCACAGATATTCCACAGCCACATCTGAGACTCACAAGCAAAAAAGTGCACGCACGCACACAGTGATGCAGCTTGCACTGCTTTGGCCCTGAAATGCCGCAGAGGGTGGTGACAGATGCGGGACAACCCGAAACTTAGATTGCATAACTGAGACTACTGTCCAAATGTGTCTTAAATTCTGGGTGGGCCATGCCCACCGTGCTCTGGTGCAGAGCCTGTCCCTAACCCCCACTGCCTCCCCCCTGACAGCTCCATGCCGTTCCCTCGGGCCCTGTCGCTGTCACACAGAGCAGAGCTGCCCCTCTGCTCCCTGTGAGGAGCTGCAGCCACCTCCCCTCAGCTCCTCTGCTCTGGGTTGAACCGAAGGGCCTCAGCCGTTCCTCACACGCCATGCCCTACAGACCTTACATCTTCGTAGCCCCTCCTTTGGACACACTCTCATAGTTTTATGTCCTTCTTATCCTGTGGCATCCAAACCTGCACCCAGTGCTGGAGGCTGCAGGAGGCAGCCAGGAAAGCAGGGCCTGGCCAGCATCGGACCGTGTGTGACTCCCGCCTTCATTTGCCTTTCTGCCAGTGCTGGGAGTGGCAGGAAGTTTCAGCCATCAGTGAACTGCTGCATAAACTCAGAAGCAGCTTGAAAAGATAGCTGCTAAATGCTTAACACATTGTAAACTCCATGAGGGAACAAACAAAGGCAAGTGCAGAAAACCTGTAATGCAGTCATTCACGCTGCTGCTTTCTGTCCTTGCACACAAGCTACCTTACAGCAGGTTTTTGTTCCGTTTCCTGCTGCAGTAGATAATCTTTGATCTGCAGAATCACTTAGGTGCTAAGTTACTGAAGTAGAAACAATTTTCACAAACAAAAAAATATTATGACATGGTAGTCCAGAGAAGATGTGTTTTACACCAAACAGTGATGGTGGATCAGACCCTCGGGCCCTCACTGGGACACCATTGACATAGGATACAAAAGCAGGTCTTTCTTTTCTGATCTGTACCTGGCCTTAGTTGATGTTGCATTAGCCCACACTAGCACTTCTAAAGCTCTTTGCTTACAGTTTCCCCTAAGTTCTAACAAAAACTCTTACTGGATGTGTGGAGATGTTTGCCTGGGGGGAGCAGTGTGGAGTGCTAGCTCTGAAACAGTGTGGATGCCTGAGACAAGTCAAAAGTAAGAAGGTTCAGCAGTACCAAGAACTCCCAGAGAGAAGTCCTTAGTTGTAATCACGTGCTTGAAGTACTACTAATTGCATACAAGGTGAGAGACACAGGAAGATAAGGTTTTCTTTTCTTCCAGCCTTCCTGTATGTCACTTATGGCACAGGCTGGACTTGCATTTGGGCCACACTGAACTTTCAGCTCTGCGGGGCTGGTGAGTGAAGTTGATAAGATAAGCTCTTGTGTTATAAAAGGACTTTTGCCTTTGTGGTAAGAAGGTAGTAAAAGAGGAGGGGGAGAGGTAATTAGTAGGGCTTGCAATATTTTTTCTGAGGGACTTGCAGCTCGTTCACATCATGCTGAGAAAAAAAACAGACTGGAAAATCGTGGAGTTAGCTGAGGTGGGGTCACACACAGCAGCTCATGCAGGGTGTGAATGGTGGAGCTACATAACCAAAGCCCGATCTGCACTGCGCACGTTTGTCTGCTCTGCTGTGTAGTCCCTGCTGCTGTCAGCACATCACGGGGTCCTGGGGCCTCCAGCACAGCCTGGGGCCTCTGAGGATTTGATTCTCTGAAGTAGAACTGGGCATTCTTTGGGTGAGTGGTCCCCTGTGCTGCCTCAGGCTTTGTGGGTTCTCTTGAGTTGCAAAAAATGTTCACAAGAGCCCTCTAGAGATGCTGTCCATCCATCCATTGAAGCTGCACAGGTAGCAGTACTCAGTCAAGGCAGATGGGGCTTCATCTAGCAGAATCTTGAAAACCTCCAAGGACAGAGACCACACAACCTGTCTAAGCAACCCATTCACATCCTGTGCTACCCTTAGTAAATATGTTCATCCTATTGCCTGG